TGTACTGTACATGTGTGTGGACAAGGATTACCAAATAATCTTACAATGCTTTTGTTTGTTAAACATATTGTATATATTAAGTGTTAATTTTTAGGTTGTTTTATGAGCCTAGCTGTGAGATAAAATTGGCCTTACTTAGTCAACCATTGTCTAACTGAATATTCTGAATATAGCTGAATATGTTAATATAAATATGCCAGTATATTGAATTACAGTTTTACTGTTGTCTAGGTAAAAATTAAAGAAGCAACAGGACTACCTTTGAATCTCTCAAACTTTGTCTTTTGTCAATACACCTTCTGGGATCAGTGTGAGTCAACTGTTGCAGCACCAGTTGTAGACCCAGATGTGCCTTCACCTCTGACCAAGGATGTCCAGTTTACAGTGACTTTTGCTCATTGTAAGGTAATTTTGTTTGGTTGGAATGCTAGAAAAATACATTTGAGTCCATATTTTATATACACACACACACATACACATGATTCCATCCTACTGTACAGTGAGATGGAGATGAAACAAGGGGTTCTAATACCTGCATTAAACAACAACAAAAATTCCTTTCCACTGCTTTCAAGTGCCTCCCCCACCAATTACCTTCAGTCCATTCCACTCACCTTTTCGGCAGACCACCAGGTTCTTCACACACACTCTGGGCCACAGTTTTGGAACCCTGGCATAGGTTAAACAGAATTCTGCAAGTCATTAGTGGCATTGAATGCTGGAGTTGTGTAACCTGCTCCTGTTACTTTTATTTGTGATTTCCAGTGGAAAGAGAAAGGAAGACAGAACATACAACTTGGTTCTTAGGAAACCTAGTCAGAGAGAAGGTGTGACCAGCCCATTCACTGTTATGGAAAATGGGATTGGATTAAGGAAATGAAACATTCATTCTTTCACAAAAACATATTAATTAGGAGTGAGTTAGTCTGGCAAACATTCTGGTCTCTGAAAATGGAGCTTTGTTATTCCTAAAATATTTTGTGGTTATGCTTATTTCAATATATCTCATTAGAATAGGGACTACAATATTAAATATGTTGTAGTAATCAACACAAAATATGGAATTTTGACTACCTGTGCAAATATAACTGAAGAGAAGTATTAATATAAAATAGTGGTCTGTTCAGTATTATACAAAATTCTGCATTTTACCTGGTTCATGGAATTAATATCTTCATTGGGAGTTTTTTTCTGCCCACAAGAACATTTGAACATTCACCTGGTTTTTTAATCATAGAGCTGATAAAAATCATGCTTTAAGTGTTCTGCAGTAAGTATTCCAATTTTTTAGGATTATGTGGTGAATGTAACAGAAGAATTTCTGGAGTTCATTCAAGATGGAGCACTTGCTATTGAGGTATGGGGTCACAGATGTGCTGGAAACGGCAGTTCCATATGGGAGGTGGATACTCTTCATGCAAAAACCAGGACCTTGAGAGACAGGTAAACCTAGGTTGTATTTTCCTTATAGTAGTGAAGCCTCACTTCAAATATAGGGAGAAAGGAGGAAGTACAGCACATGTGCCAGAGATGAATTGAGAGCTAGAGGGTGATGGGTGTGTGTGCCTGTAGAGGTGGGAAGAGAGAAATTGAGTACAAAGAAGAGATTTCTCATTGTCTTCTTTGTTGCAAGAATATTTGATTTGTTAATTACTAAAAATTGTTTTAATTGTATTGTTGCTTCCTGCCCTTGGCACCTTTAGGAAGAAGGGTGGGATAAAAATCTAAAAGTAGATAAAATGAATGGCTCTACAAATTTCCACTAAAGTGTAAGGAGGAGTATTCATACTGCTCTTATTGCTTTTTGGATTGTCTCTAGGTGGAATGAAGTGACACGTCGAATAGAAATGTGGGTTTCAATTCAAGAACTGAATGAACTGGGGGACTATACAGCTGTGGAGCTCCACCAGGCAAAGGATGTAAATACAGGAGGGATTTTCCAGCTTCGACAGGTACAATTAATTTTATCCCTCCCAGATAAGAATACCAATGTGTGTTTACATTAATTTACATGTTTCCCTACTTATATGACTAGGGTCATTCTCGCAGAGTTCAGGTGATGGTTAAACCAGTACAGCATTCGGGAACATTGCCACTTATGGTAGAAGCCATTCTGTCTGTCTCCATTGGCTGTGTGACTGCCAGATCAACCAAATTGCAACGGGGGTTGGACAGTTACCAGGTAGGATAAGTGGCTTTAAAGTGCTAAATTATTATATTGTGGTGCAGATTTGTTGTTTTCACTTGTGCCTTTGAAGGTTACTGTGTGGAATTTGTATGTACACTTGAAGCAAGGCATGGATGATAGCTTCTCAAGGACCATTAGGAATGGCAGTTAAATGGAACATCATGTCTTGAATTGGTATCCCTTGAATGCCAGAAACAATATCAAATTGGTGACTTTCAGGGGCTTGTAATCTTTCAGGGGCATCTTGCTCGCCATTATCATAAACTGAATGCTGAGTAGATGAAGTTTGCTGATGGGAATTGTAGTTCAAAATGTTTGGAGGACACCAAGTTGGAGCAGGCTGATTTTAAAAGTTTATTGTAAACTAGTCATCGCAAGCCTCAGGTACAATCTCTTCCTCTTTTGTAAGCATGATGAGGAGACTGAAAGGGCTACCTGGAGATGCTAGGAATTGAACCTGAGACCTTCTGCATGCAAAAGCAGATGCTCGGCCATTGAGCTACAGTCCTTCCCCTCAACAACCACTTGCTCACCTCTTGGGCTCTGTGAATAATTGCATTTGTTTACTAAGAAGTGATTGACACATGATATGCTTTGGAGGGACTGAATCCAAGTCTTCCCTCCACCCACAATGGCCTTGTTTGCATGTAACCTTAAATCATAGTTAAAACAACAACAACAACAACAACAACTCTGGAAGGGCTCTCCAGCCTTTTTGGGCCCATAGGCACATTTGCAAACCAGACAAATAGTTGTTGGCAACCCCCCCCCGCCCCCTTTTCAAGCCTAATTTCAGCAGCCTCCTTTCTGTGATATGTGGTAGGACACAAGCCTGAATCTGCCTTGTGGTGGTGGGCAAAGCTGGACTCATGATTTGTATCTCTCCGTATAAATCAAAAGTGGTAAGCCAAACACAAATATTGGCTTCCACTCATGATTTATTTGGAAAGAAACAAGCCATGAGCCCAGGTTTGCATGTCACTACGAGACAGATTGTGGCTTCTTTCCTTTCTTGCATGGCACAGTCAGGTGTGAAGGAAGGAGGAAAATGTTTGTGCACATTAAAACAGAGCTTATTTTAAGCTACAGTTTAACATTGTACATGAACCTGGCTACTATGTGATTGCTGAATGCCCACTGTTATATCAAAGATGTGTAGACGGAGTGCATAATAATAAAGATCCAGCATAAATTACCAGAGATAAACCTCATGTAGAAGAACAGGTGGACACTTTTCCCATCAGTCATGTGCTTCAAAAAGTGAACTAATTAATTTAAAACAAAACAACAACCCAATGCTTGAATGCATGAAGATATCATATACATAGTTTATGACTCTAGAAAGCAAGGGAGCATCATTGCATGAATTTTGCTTCTACGTGATTAAGTATTAGCCTGGAGGTCCTGACTCTCAAACCGTTTTAGAGTAAGTGGTAAAGAGGAGCAGCACATACTAGTGGGTCATTAAACCTTTATATAAACAAAGAAAATAAATAAAATAAGGTTTGATGCTTTCTGTTCTGTCTTGTTCTAATTTGTGTCCATGATGTGTGCTCATATTTGGAGTTTGTTAGCAAGAAAAATGCATGTTCTCTATGTTTATAAAGTTTATTTTTTTCTACCAGAGAGGAGATGATGATGATGATGGTGATATGGATAGTTATCAGGTATTGCTGCTGCTGTTGTTGTCGAATCACATAGCATGGGGCACAGCTAATGCTAATAGTTATCAACTCCAAAAAGTTACTGAAAGAATTTGCTCTTGGAACTTTATGCATTAAAAGACACTGATTTAAAGAACAAGCATCTCAGCTTAATTTGACAATACACTATGCTCTTTCATGTGACATTTCTAATGATCAATATATTAATGATTTATTTAGATTGTTGAAAATTAAGAAACAGCATGGTGGCTTGCAACTTAATTAAAACAACTGTCAATAAAACAATGTAAAACAGATGCAGGAGATACAAAATAGCAAAGAAATTTCAGGGAGGGAAAAGCCGAGGATTAAAAACCATGTCAAGTACCTGCCAGAAAAGGAATGTCTTCACTCACTCATGAAAGTCCATCAAAAAGGGGACAAAACAGACTTCCCTAGGAAGGAAGTCCCGCAGAGCCTGGGCAGGGCAACAGAGAAAGTTGTATTGTGTGTCAAATTCAGACGTTGGTGTAATGCAAGGGAGACGTACAAGAGAGATCTATAGACATCTCTTATATGATAGAATTGAGGCCAAAAGCTGAATTCTTCATTTTTTAAACTAAATAATGTTTGAAATCATAATAATTTTTACATACAATTATTTGTCAATACAATTATTTGTCATCCATAATTTTTACAGGTTTCATTAAATCACATTTTGTTCAGTGCAATAACAAAAGCATCAAATATTTGTGTGTACTGTACTGTTAAACCATTTTTTAATAATAAAAAGCTAGTCCTGTAAATTTTGCTTTCCTGATGCCTACAGCTTTAATAGATTTATGAATTAATGAATTCTGTATGAAGGCTTCCCAATATTAAGGGTTTTAAAAAAAATTTTTAACAAGCAGCAAAAAACAAAAACAAAACACCAGTTGTATAAATATAGGTATCTATGCAAATACCCTAGTAAGTTGTACAGTTGTTCCAAAAACCTACAGCTCAAACTACAGGTGATGGCTGATTCAAATGCCTAAAGCTCCTCTCTGACCCAGTCCTGTGAAACAAGGAAACTAGAAGTCCAATTTAGGAGTATAAGGAATAAATGGGTGAGCAGTGCTAAACACCCACATCCACACACCAGAGGCAACTCAACACACACTGCTTACCTTCTAGCAACCTTCTCCCCAAGCACTCTTCTCACACATAGGGGCACTTCTGGTATTTAGCCTGGATGAGGAGAAAATGGCTTCAGAGAACAAACTGCAAGTAGATAAACCACAAGAAGAGAGAAGGCTTTGCACTTCCCACCCAGGAGGACCCCCACCTCCATAATTATAGTACTTCCATAAGTTAGGCAGATCCAGATTTAAATACACCATCCTGCTGTCAACAGTAGTTTGAGCCTGAATTAGCTACTAACTTGCTTCAAGCGGTTCATGGCACTTCCTGGTAATGAATTATGAAGAATGGATCAAACATTCCTTTAATACCAGAAAGCATGATTGCATGATGGGTTTTTGTTTGCATGTGGATGATTTAGTTACTCTGGTAACAGCTTCTCATAATGGAGTTAATACAGGTTTAAGGGTATATATGTTGATGTCTCTTTAATTGTTTTCACTTTCATATGCTACTAAATAGTTTGTTGGCCAATGCATTATTTTTCTGCTTGGATCTAAATCACAAATTTGCAAGAGACAAGATACACAAAGAGCTCTAACTATGGAGTGGGTGGTGCAATTTCAGCTTTTCATTCTTTATGCTCTTTGCAAGTTGGGTGAGCTTACCTTCTTGGGTTATGTACTATCTGATGTAAATATGAATGAACACTATTGGGTAACATCTTCCAATCAAAGTTGAAAACTGCATAAAATTAAATGTGTATGTTGTATATGTTAAAAAAAGAAATTCTCTTTTTCCAAAGGAAGAAGACTTAAATTGTGTGAGAGAGAGGTGGTCAGAGGCACTAATAAAACGCAGAGAATATCTAGATGAACAGATTAAAAAAATCAGCAATAAACAAGGTTTGTGGATCTTGTGATTTAATTATAAGAACTTTGCATTCCTTTTTATCAAAAAAGAGTCTTAGCCTAGTGTATTACTGATTTATTTTTAAAAGTTATTTGTATTTGAAAGGCTTTTTGTGATGTTCAGCTTGTTACAAAGTGAAAAATTAGGATAATTCGCTCATTACAAAGTGAATCCACCTTTGAGAGCAGAATTTCCATTAGCTTTGTTGGATCTAATCTCCATTCATTGGAATCCAAAACCAACCTGTCATTTTGCTACTCTTAAATAATTGGAAAATGTATTATTAACCCATTGTTTTCTGGATGCCCCTGGAAAAAGTACTTCCACAATATGTGACCAATATTCCACTCTTCATATCCCATATCACATTATAGATAAAACAGACGATGACATGGAGAGAGAAGCACGTCTTGTAGAACAGTGGGTAGGGCTAACAGAAGAAAGAAATGCTGTGCTAGTCCCAGCACCAGACAGTGGGATCCCAGGTGCTCCTGCAAATTGGTAGGTTGACTAAAATGCATTATATTTCAGCTTGCTTGCAAAACAACTTTTGAGTGAATATTGTATGCAGTTAACAGGATAGTAAAGATCTGAGGGAAGAATAAGCTGCTAAAATGCTAAATGTGTGTTCACTTTTTTTTTTAATTGACCTTTATATTCCACAACACAGAACATTAGTGCCCTTAGTTCAGCTAGAAACATATTACAACTAGAAATAAAACTGCTGAAGTGAACTGGTTGTTTTATTGCTGGTCTATGTATCCTGAAGATTTATCTCACCCAGATATGGTTGAATTAAGGGCAGGATATAAATATTTTAATAAATAGGAAATAAAAATGGTTTCTGGTGGTGTAATGCACAGTCATGTAATAATGTAGAACTGGGGCTTATATACAAGTTCATTTACAGATTCCATAACATTTCCTGTTGTATTAATGCTTGTAGTAGGTGTTAACACCTGTACTGGGGTCCTGAAGTAAAAAAGACACACTTTCTCCTGTCTCCACATTTCGCTCTATTATGCATTGAGACGATTAGATTCAGGACTTGCATCCAGCTCCAAACACTTCATTTCCATAAAACTAGGGACTGTTTAGGAGATATGGTGGAGAAAATATCACCACCCCACCCCTGTGAATTCTTTTCTCTTTTATGAACCATGGACTAGGAGCTCTCCTGTTAGGATCCGAGGATACACTGTAACATTTTGTTGTAGGTTCCCCCTAGTTAATGTCATTTTTTTAAACACTTTCAGTTTTCCATTAAAATATCTGTGCATGGTATGGTTTATTTTATTAACTGGGGTGTTTCCTTACTGTTAGGATCCCACCTTCTGGAATGGAAACACATATACCTGTACTTTTCCTTGATTTGAATGGTAAGTTGCAGCTTACGAAGGGAGTGGAAGTATGAATTCCGTTGAATATGCTCGACGTGTTTATATGCTTTCGTATTGCTGGTGTTTTATTGCTGTGTGGGAATCTGAAGTGTTTCAGATCTGGATCTGATGGCTTTTAAATAATTCAGTTTTTTTGTTTATTGAATGTATTGAAAGAAGCACAGCTGTTGGGCATTAGAGTTCTTCCATCATGTGTAAAGACACATTCTTAAACATCTTCATGAAAAGTTCCAAAATGATATTTTGCAATGATTTGTATTTGCTGCATTGTGGGGTAACAAACTTTATTAAGCTAATGTATACAAATGTAACATGAGAAGTATAAGTCTCTCCTATCCAAAGCATTGTTTTCAATTATGCACGATTTCTGTGTAATATGTTTAAGACTGGGACATAGGAAATAATTAAAGCTAAAAAAATGTCTTGTAACTTCATTTTATTTTTTTGTTAGCTGATGACCTCAGTGCCAATGAACAGCTTATAGGTCCACAAGCATCAGGAGTAAATTCAATACTACCAAAAGAACATGGAAGTCAATTCTTTTATCTGCCAATCATAAAACACAGCAAAGATGAGGTAAATTTCTAGTGAGCTATTCTGTACAGTAGATGTGTGGCTATCATATTTTTACTGTTTGCATTTTGCCAATACATTTTCTTTCTTTTTCAATACATTTAATGCTACATTATACCTTTGGAACCTTGAATTAGAGTTTACTCTTTTCTACTTGATTTTTGTTGAACAAGTATGTATAGTTTATTGTTATTCAGAATAACATCTTAACAAAGTGATCTTTGATTAGCTTTTAATTCATGTGGGGTTGAAATACTTAAATTTTGAAGAATAAACATTTAATATTCTTGAACTGTATAAATGAAGTCCAACTTCTTCTTAAAGTCTCTATGTAGGTGTTCCTTCTTTCTCATAGATACTTACAGCTAGTAACGTAATATTCCACACCCTTTCTCCAAAGCCTTAGAAAATGGTAAATGCACTGACTTCCATGCTAGCATTAAAAATGTCTTAGTTAATATATCCATAGCTGTCTCCCTGTGTGCTCCACTCACTTACCTTTTTAGTTGTCCCAAAGGGATGGTTTATGGATTTAATTTAATATCTTCACTTATTATGTTTTTGATACCCTGTGAAACATCTATCCATTATTAACCTGATACATTTCTACCAAAAGTGGGCCAATATTTCCTTGCTTCTTCAACATGAATCAGATAGGTACACTGGGATATATTTTTGCAATTCTTACAGGGATATAATTCCATGTATAGTGGAACCTTGGTTCCCAAAAAGCTTGGCTCCCAAACAAATTGGCTCCCGAACGCCGCAAACCCGGAAGTAAGTGTTCTGGTTTGCAAATGTTTTTTGGAAGCCAAACATCCGTTTCAACTGTCGGCATTGTTTCTGGGGCCAATCAGCCAATCAGAAGCCATGCCTTGGTTTGCAAACGTTTTTGAAGTTGAACAGACTTCCAGAATGGATTGAGTTCAGGAACCAAGGTACTACTGTATACAATATATTATAAAAGTTTCTATTGAATCCACACAAAGTAAAATCGTTTTTGGCTCATTATTTCTATATATAATGCCATTCTATACCTGTCATTCTAACAATGATTTCTTTCTCTGAATTTTGTTTTATTAGTTGTTTCTTGTAGATTTCTGATAATAATTCAAAATATGGAAGAAGTCTGCTTATGTTTGTTCCTCTTATAACATTTTTATTGGGCTTCTAGACTGGCAATTTAGCATTTGGTTTGTTTTATGCAAACTGAGCATATTAGAAAATAACAAGTTGATTCCCTCCTCTTCCTCCATGGCAAAATGTCTTTATACTTGTGAAACCATGTACTAGTGCAACTAATATTGCACATGGTGATAATGGTTAATTTTTGGTGCAGATCAATCATCCAGGCTGGAGCTTATTCAGATTCTTCAGTGATATGTTAAAAATCAGCAATAGAAAAATAAATATGATCTTAGGCAGAATCTTCATTTTATAATGTTTGCTTTTACTGACAATGAAATTAGTAATTTTACCAATCTATACATACCCTCTTTGCTTTGTCCCAATATGGACAAGCAGTTGGTTTATAATAGATTTGAAATATTGATTGATAAAGATATCCCTAGCTATTTTATTCTTGGTTGCTTAATGTGAGAAGGGAGGGGATATTTTCTTACTCACTTTATTTTAAAAAACCAACCACCTTCTGCTCCAGCAGTTTCCCCAAACCCATAGTCCTGCCACCATTTAATATTACTTATACCCTTAGTTCCCTTAACTTATCAGTAACCTGAGTAACTGTTGATATCAATGTAGTACGAAGAAGATGAAGTATAGCTATTATATTTGACAAAGAAATCAATGTTTATTTATTGCATTATGCGGTGCACAAGTGTATGCAGTTACTTTATACTACCTACTTAAATGGATATGCACTTTGTTAACATGTTGATTAAATGCAGCTTATTTTACACTATTACTAACTAAGTCACCTTTGAAGGACCTAATTTAAGATTCTTTTGCCAGATTGTTCTTCTATTTACTCCACCCCAGTTAAGCCTCACCAACTCTATAACTAAGGACCTTTACTGAAGGCTCTCTTTTGACCTGTACTGACCTGTTGAAGCACAGGGCTGTTTCCATTGCTCTGCCCTGGAATCTTTCTCTCCTACCTGACACCAGGCAGAGCCTGGCATTCGAAACTGCCTCTCACTTCTTCTCCCCTCTTCAGCCTGAGCCAAGCCAATTCAGCTACCCCAGTCTTCCTTTCAAGTCCTCTTCTTCCTTAATCTTCTTCCTCTGCTCTCTTCTTCTGGCTGCCCACCATGAACACCAAGCACCAACAAATGCTGACTCCTCTCTGAGCAACATGGACTAATCCTAACTGACCCTAACTGCCATATATTCACTTCTTCTGCCCCCTCTGGTCCAGCCCCAGCCAATCACATTGTCTAACTGAATATTCTAAACCTGCAACCACCAATCAAAATGTGGGTACGTTTTATCCTTCTTTTGCATACTGATAGTTCTGTCTCCAACCCTTCCTTGGCTGTCTGTTAAGCTCCCCCAGTGACAGTTAAACCAACTGCTACCTGATCAGGCAAAGCACTTTCCCCATCAAATACATTACAAAAAAAAATTGACAGAGGTACTATTCTACTCAGTTTTACTTAAACGTATTGAAACCATGGGACTTTAGTCATGGTCATTAATTGCTTCTGTTAATGTTGTGTTAATTGTCTAAGCATTTCTGTATTTCAGGAATGTTAAAAGGGTAGGGTAAACATTTAAGCAATTCAGACCAGTTTCCTTTATAATATTCTACCAAATTGTGCTCCTAGGTTTCAGCCACTGCTGCATGGGACCCTTCTGTGCATGATTCAGTGCACTTGAATAGGGTAACACCTCAAAATGAGAGAATCTATTTGATTGTGAAGATTACAGTCCAACTCAGCCACCCTGCTGCAATGGAACTTGTGTTACGTAAAAGAATTGCTGCAAATATTTACAATAAGCAGGTGATGGGTGAATTCTGCTTAATGTATCTTGTTTTGACTGTATTTCTTTTTTGTTGACTTAACTGTTGGGATATACGGGACGCGGGTGGCGCTGTGGGTAAAAGCCTCAGCGCCTAGGGCTTGCCGATCGAAAGGTCGGCGGTTCGAATCCCCGCGGCAGGGTGCGCTCCCGTCGTTCGGTCCCAGCGCCTGCCAACCTAGCAGTTCGAAAGCACCCCCGGGTGCAAGTAGATAAATAGGGACCGCTTACAAGCGGGAAGGTAAACGGCGTTTCCGTGTGCGGCTCTGGCTCGCCAGAGCAGCGATGTCACGCTGGCCACGTGACCCGGAAGTGTCTCCGGACAGCGCTGGCCCACGGCCTATAGAGTGAGATGGGCGCACAACCCTAGAGTCTGGCAAGACTAGCCCGTACGGGCAGGGGTACCTTTACCTTTACCTTTAACTGTTGGGATAAAATTTAGAAATAATAAACTAAACCAAGAAGTATGCACATACAATGCTGTTTTTAAAAAATAAAAAACCACAGAAATGTTTTATCGATGTTTCATTTCGTTACTAAAGTAACATGCAGAATAACAAAAGGAACATAAACAAAGGAAGGTATACAAAGCTTGATAAATGTTTAAATAAAAAGGTTAGCTTATGGTTGTAGTAATTTACATTCCAATTTATGCAATCAAATAAAGGTATTTTTCATAGTGTTGCATGTGTTGATGGAGGGTGAAAACAATGTTCAATTGTTTTTACAAAGTAAAATAATACCATGTTTCTTTTAATTTTTTGCCATTCCCAGTGAGGTATTGAAAAATATGCTAAGGAGGCTGAATTGGGATGCCAGGATGAGAGTTAGCCCCTACCCCATTGCATGTGAAATGAACCTGCAAGAAACCATTTTCTTAGCTTGCTTAATCACACTATTCATCATATGAATACTTTATTCTTTAATTCCCCCCTAGAGTTTTACCCAGAGTCTCAAACGAAGAATATCTTTGAAGAATATATGGTATGCTTGTGGTGTGGCCTATGAAATAGTTTCAAATATACCAAAGGTAAATTCTACCGTACTTTTTTCAATAAGTTAGAATAAATGAAAAAATCAAAGTAAAGAGATTCCTGTAAACTGCATCCTCAAAATACTGTTTTAGGCATTCTGAAGTGGCATCTGTGTAAGGACTGCATAACGTTGCATTCTGTTTGTGTCCCAGTTTTAAACAGATTAAATGAAACAGTTTAATTTTTAGGCCACAGAAGAAATTGAAGATCGGGAGACACTGGCTCTGATGGCAGCCAGAAATGAAAATGAGGGTGCATCTGATGGTGAAACTTACATTGAGAAGTATACTCGTGGAGTGCTGCAGGTAGAAAACATTTTGAGTCTTGAACGATTAAGACAGGTGAGTAGAAAAAAGCTTCAGGCCAAATTAGTTCAGTTATTGTAAAACAATTGCCACAAGGGATGTATCATATTTCCATTTTCTTTACCTTTACTATCAGAATGCTGGCAAACGTTTAATGTGAACTTGCTCTTGGGATGCAATTTTGATATAATGTTCCATTCTTGATGTGTCTTCAGAGACATCAAACCTGATTAAAGTAAAAATGATTTTTCTGTATTAATAAATATACCTTTATATATACTTTCTGAAGTGAGTTTTAATTGCCTAGATCTCTATGTGAAACTAGGGATTTCAATTTACTCATTCTATCTTAACACAGGCAGTCACAGTCAAAGAAGCTATTTCTACTAAGACTCGACACATGCAGCGGAGTGTCAGTACACCAAACGTCCACAATGTAAGATAATTTTTCAAGGTGAAAGACTCACATATTACTAAAAATGTTAAGGTTGTAGACAAACGTATTCATTTTGACCCTGGAGAAATTGAGATTAATCAGTAGAATAAGTAGACAAAGGAAATTGTGGCATATTCTACATATTCCAGTAGTTATTTGTCAGGGGTAATTGTCAGGGATAATTTAGGTTTAATGCTCCTTTCCAACATGCAAGTATAACCCTCCTTTCCTTTAAATGCAGGATATACAGTACATGAGTGTTCATGAAGTTCTATTGCCATGTTTGTCAGTCTTTTGTTTATTTCAAATGCAGCCTAGGCTTAACAGTGGGTGAGGAGACTGTGGTTCTCATGTGAAGGCCACCCTGCTGCTAAGCAAGCTAATAGCATTCATTGGGCTCATATTTATTTATTGTTGTGTTTTAGGTATCCTGTAGTCGATTAGATATTTCTGGCTGTGATGAAGATAAGGTATGAATATTAAGAAAAGTGAACAGATGTGGTGGCACCTTTTTGAAAATGTAGTCAAATACAATTGCATTTTCCTTCCTATTTGATACAAGAAAGCCTTAACTTTAGTCTTCAGTAATAATGACAGGTTGTTTAGAACAGGAATGTATACCGTATTTTTTGTCCTATAGGGCACACCGGCCCATAGGACGCACCTCGTTTTTTTTGGGGGGGGGGAAATGAATAAAAAAAAATTATTTTCCCCCCAGCCGCGGCTGCCGCCCCAAGCCTTGCACACGCCTGCCTGAAGCACGGGGCGCCCTCCGGAGGGCTCCCCGTGCTTCGGGCTGCAGGCTGCCGTCCCAAGCCTCGCGCGCCCGGCGGGACCTCCCGCCAGGCACACAAGACTTGCGGATAGCTTCCTGAAGCCTGGAGAGCGAGAGGGGTCGGTGCGCACCGATGCCTCTCGCTCTCCAGGCTTCAGCGAAAGCCTGCATTCGCCTCATAGGACGCACACACATTTCCCCTTCATTTTTGGAGGGGGGAAAGTGCATCCTATGGGGCGAAAAATACGGTAATTTGATGTATTACTGACTTGAGAAAATCAAGTTGAGGTGATCTCAGGGTGCTTCACAAAATAAAATATGAAAGACTGTCAGTTATTTCTCTGGTGAAGGGGCATGCGGGGGTGCAATAAATTTCTCAGGGTAGTTAGTAGTGCATCAATTACCAAAAAAGTCCTAGGAATCTTCCTGTGAAATAGGAGAGATTATGGGGTATTTTTGTAATAGATTTTAACAAAATAAGACACTGCTCCTGGACACACCATGGAGCAAGTACCACTGAAAGCATTGGGGATATACTTCTGAATAAAATGCCCAGGATTGAGTTGCATAAAATAAATTTGAAAAGTTTTGGTAGTAATAAAAAACATGTATGTGTGAGAGAACATTGACTATTTTGAAAGGATCTGAACTCTTTTTTTTTTTTTGTAGCTTGAAAATGAACATTTTCCTGTTTCTTTTCTTGGTTGTTTATGACTTTAGGGTTGGTCAGAAGGTCATCTAGATGTATTAGATTGTTCTTCCAGTTATCAAGATGTATCATGTTATGGTACTTTACCCAGAGATTCTCCTCGCAGAAGTAAAGATGCTGGTGGTAAGATTTTTATTGTGTTTGGTTTTAATTGGGTCAATATATGAAATTATATATATATATCTCAGTGATGCAAAGGGTATTTCCCCCTGTTTTACTGTCTTTAAATTCTTGTGGTAAATGTGCATGTGTAAAGCAGCATTCAGTCCTAAGCGATACAGTGTTTTAATCTGCTAGCAAAGGCTACTTCTCCCATGATGATGAAGGTTAGCTTGTGGGTGCTTTGGTGCTGCAAGGGCCGAAAACAACTATCCCAGCACCCTTTAAGAAGGTTCAGAAGTAAAAATGGGATGTGCCTCTCCAGACCAAGCACTTCGGATCATATACCAATAAGTTTTATCTCCTAGAACAAGCATTATTATTTCATATAGTAGAATCAATGCACACAATGCTTTATGTAGTGATATGAGCAGTAAGACAGCTTCTCCCCTGTAGAGTTCACAAAAACAGAGGAAAGAGAAGTAGGAAAAGAAAATGTGCACATGCATATTCATGACAGCATAAAGGTAGAGGAGGGAGATTTAGTGATAAGAAGGAAAGAAAAAAATTATATTGGAAGCTGCCCAGAGTGGCTGGGGCAATCAAGTCAGATGGTCAGGGTACAATTATTATTATTACTAATATTACTGTTACTATTATTATAAAGAATAACTGCTTAGGGAACAAGTGATTAAAATTTGGTTTTAGTACTAATGTTGTAGCTTTGTGACTTTGTTTCAAACTGCCAAGTTACATATGAGTTGTTACCTTATGCTGACAGGTACATTATCATTCTCTCTTGGGTTATATTAACCAGCAGATGCACTG